TTTTTTTTTTTTTTTTTTTTTTTTTGCTGCTGCGTATATTTAGTTATTTATTGACTCTTTGCTTGTGGACATACCTGTATAAACTCCAGACCCCCTAAAAAGGATATTTCAAACAAAAAGAAAACATAATTTTTTTTTGATAATAATGCTTTATAGAGTTTATTCTTTTATCACCTGATTTCCCAGTCTTCTCCATGGACTCACACTATGACATCCTCCCTCTGCACCGAAGTGGAAGACTACAGAGATACAGCCAGACCAGAGAGCCAGCAAGGAGAGGAGAACAGGAGACTGAGGGCTTGAAAGAGTAGCCTATGAACTATTATAGCAGCATTTCCAAAAGAAATCTTGGTTTTCAAGGTCATTCTTGGAAACCGAAGGTGTATGTGTGTGTCTGTCCCTGCTGTCCCCAGGTGACAGAGGTAAGGCTTGCTCTTTGTGTGTATGTATGTGTGTGCCCATCCGTCTGTTCCTACTGGCAGGAATGAACCTGACTCAGTGTATGTATGTGCATATGTCTGTCTACTACTCCTCTCCCCTCCATTGTCCGAATTCAGAATTGGTCAGCCATGTGTCACAGACTACTGCTGACAGCCAATGAAACATCGCTGTGGAGTGCCAACAAGCAGCCTCAGCAGAGGGGAAGTATGCACTACTGCTGTTTACTGGATGGCATCATAACAACTCATCTGTGTGTCTTCAGCCCAGGTTGCCCATGTTGAGCAGAAGACCCTGGGATACCTCTGCTGTGGAGCAAAACCACAAAGCAAAAGGGGTCACACTAGAGAATGCATGATGCAGACTCCCAAGCAAAGGGAAGCTGCGTGTCTGAGCCAGGGGACCATAAACACCAGTTCTAATGTGGAAAGAAGGGGTGGCTTCATCAGCCATTTATTGGTCAACCTATGATGCTAGGTCAGCGGGCAAACTGAATGGACCATACTACTTCTACCATGGCTTTCAATCAGAGTCACAGGTGCTGAGGCCAGAAGGTTTGTCAGATCATCCAGCTTGACATCCTGTATAGCTCAGGCCAGAGAATTTCATCCAGTGACCCCCTGCATTGAGTGCAAAACTTGGGTTTAGTTGAACCAAATGCAAGGTGTTACAGCAAGGGATGGAAAACAAGGGGATAACACTATTTGGAAGTATCACTGATGAAGGAGCTGTGGGTTATTTCATAGATTTCATAGACATTAGGGCTGGAAGGGACCTTGAAAGTTCATCGAGTCCAGCCCCCTGCCCGAGGGGCAGGAAGTCAGCTGGGGTCACAGGATCCCAGCAAGATAAGCACCCAAATTTCTCTTGAAGGCGTTCAAAGTAGGTGCTTGAACCACCTCCAGCGGCAGGCTATTCCAGACCTTGGGGGCTTGGACAGTAAAGAAATTCTTCCTTATGTCCAGCCTGAAACCATCTTGCAGGAGTTTAAAACTGTTTGCCCTCGTCATCCCTTGGGGCGCTCTGGTGAACAAACGTTCCCCCAGATCCTGGTGGTCACCCCTGATAAACTTATAGGTGGCCATCAGATCGCCCCTGAGCCTGCGCTTTTCCAGGCTAAAGAACCCCATGGCTCTCAGCCTGTCATCATAAGGTCTGTTTTCCTGACCTCTGATCATGCACGTGGCTCTTCTCTGGACTCTGTCAAGGTTCTCCACAACCTTTTTGAATTGTGGAGCCCAAAACTGGACACAGTACTCCAGCTGCGGCCTCACCAAGGCTGAGTACAAGGCAGAGATTTGCTTGAGAAGCATCTATGGATGCAAGCCAGCGTTTTGGTTGCTTTAGTAGCCGCAGCATCGCATTGCAGGCTCATGTTCATCTTGTGGTCAATCATGATCCCCAAGCCTCTTTCTTCTGTAGTGCTAGCCAGCGTAGCACTGCCGGGGCTATAAGGATGCTGCAGGTTTTTCCTCCCAAGGTGGAGAACCTTGCATTTTTCGATGTTAAACACCATCAGGTTCTCGTCCGCCCATTTGCTGAGCCTGTCCAGGTCAGCCTGGATCGCCCTCCTGTCCTCAGATGTGGATGCTTTACCCCAGAGTTTGTTGTCATTGGCAAACTTGGCCAGTCCGCTTCTAACTCCAATGTCTACATCATTGATGAAGATGTTGAACAATATGGGTCCAACTCTTTAGTGCTCTGTTTCTTTAAACTCCATAAATATCCTATCCAAAAAATGACAAGAAGCACAGAGAGACAGCAGGACCTAGGGAGGGCAGATTAAGATGGCTGGGACTCCTCAAATATACACACAGCTCTTCAGCTAGCTCTTTTGAAGTCAGCCATTAAATTTGGATAAATTTTGTCAGGAATTTTGGAGCTGTGTGTTAAAATTTCTGTCAGCTTCTTTACTTCAATGCCCTGTGCCTCTGATAGGGGCCAGAATCAGAAACTACACCTCTTGCAAACTGCACCAACTCATGTAGAGATGCCTTGAATGCAATTGCTGCAGTGATGCCTGCCTGAGTCTGCCAAGAGCCTGAGAGAATTTCCCTGGGACAGAAAAAGTGCCCTTAGTATTTCTATGGGGTTTCATTTTCAGTCCTACTGATCCATGGTACCCCTCCAGACCCATACCATTTCAGGGGTGGGCAGGGAAGTCCAGCAGTCTGGCCTTCCATCCCAAACCAGAGTTGGTCTGGCTGGAGGAGTAATACCTGGGGGACCCTGATCTCAAGGGGTTTGTAATTCTGAGGAAGACAAAGGGGTAACATATCCCTCTTGAGGGCTACCAAGGCGGAAGCAGCTCTGAAAGTAATATCTAAAACACAACTGCACAGCAAAGGAAGTGGAGAAGAACTAAAAAGTAATGGAGCAGTATCCAGGCCTTAAGTTGGGGTAGAGGAGAAGGGAAAGAGGTGATGTTTGGAAACAAGGGTGCAAGGAACAAAGAGGAAGGAAAGAGATTTGTAGGTAGGGATTATATAATGGGAGTAGGAGTTTAAAAAATGGAGGTAAATTGTGGGCTGGGAGAATTAACCAGGTGTCTTGGAGTATCTGAAGCTAGAACCTTGCTGGCAC